TTTTTTTTTCCTGGTAACTACAAATTACTTTTTTAATAATTTCAATTTCTGTGTTAGATTCAGGGAGTACATGTGTGCATTTGTTACATGGGTATATTGTGTGATGCTGAAGTTTCGGGTACAACTGAACCTGTCAACCAGGCACTGAGTATAGCACTTAAGTTAGTTTCTTAGCCCTTGCCCTACTCCCTTTTTTCCCCTTTTGGAAGTCCCCAGTGTGTATTGCTACCATCTTTATGTTCATAAGTATCCAGTGTTTAGCTCCTGCTTGTGAGAACATGCAATATTTGATTTTCTGTTACTGTGTTAATTCCCTTAGGATAATGGCCTCCAGCTGCATCCATATTGCTGCAAAGGACGTGATTTTGTTCTTTTTTAGGCTGCATAGTATTCCGTGATATATACGTATATTACCATGTTTTCTTTATCCATTCCACCATTGATGGGTGGGTCCATGTCTTTCTATTCACTTTCTATTGTGAATAGTGAATAGGTAATCTTAGAAAAGAAACATCCATCATAATAATGATATGAGGCCCAAGACATCACAGGTGATGAGAAACCAACTTATAAACCCTCCTCATCAGCAGCTTTAAGAAAAATCACCTTCAGTCTGGAATTTTAACACAGCATTTTTTTTTTGGATCTGTTTCACTATAACACAGGTATAAACAATTCAACAATCTTGGCCAGGTGTGGTGCCTCACACCTGTAATCCTGGCACTTTGGAAGGCTGAGGAAGGAGGATTGCTTGAGCCCAGGAGTTTGAGAGTAGCCTGGGAAACATAGCAAGACTCCATATCTATCTAAAATAATAAATAATAATAATCAAATTCAATAATCAAACACTACCTTCTGAGAATTGTATTGAGAAGGGTATTTTTGCTTCCACGAAGAGATCATAAAAGTGACTGACATTCTAAGAGCATAAAATAGAATGGTTATATGATCACAAGAGAATAAGGCTCAGCATTGCATCATCACGGTGAGTAAGATTATTCAATCCAATGCCTAGTGAACAGTTCCGTTTTTACTGGGAAAATGAAGTCCACACATTTGCCTGGTGTTCTCTTGCATTTCCTCCTTGAAATTTTTCTTCTGCCATCTAACCTAAATCTCTTGTTATAATTTAAACCAGTTTTCCCTGATTTTATCCATAGATTATATAAAAGGAGAATGTATCAAGTATCTTTGGAAGAGTAACTGACTTCATGGATTTAAGTCTTTTTTTTTTTTGAGACAGTCTCACTCTGTCACCCAGGCTAGAGGGCAGTGGCACAATCTTGGATCACTGCAACTTCCTCTTTCTAGGCTCAAGTGATCCTCTTGCCTCAGGCCCCTGGAGTGACTGGGATTACAGGCACCCATCCCCACGCCCAGCTAATTTTTGTATTTTTAGTAGAGACGGGGTTTCACCATGTTGGCCAGGCTGGTCTTGAACTCCTGACCTCATGTGATTGGCCCACCTCGGCCTCCCAAAGTGCTGGGATTACAGGCGTGAGCCACTGCACCCAGCCGCCATTAAGTCTTCTTTTAGCCTTTTCCTTCCAGACAAAATAAGCCAGGTTTTATGTCTTCTCTTTATTGGTTGTATTTTCAGATCTCATAATCATCATCGTTGAGCATCCTCTGGGAATTCTCCATAGGCTAAATGTTAGTTTTAATCCCGGGCACCTAGATCAACGTTGGAAGTTCTATTGAGAGGTGTAACTATTGCTGGGTTTAATAATGGATGCTTTTCTAGTTGGTCTGTAGTGCAAACTTATCTCAGGATCAGATGCCTGCCTTCTTAAACAAGAATCAACCATGTAGAACAACAAACAAAGAGCAATGTTTCATTCTAACAACAAATTCAAGGAGAAAGGATGATCAGGAAAATAATACATCCATTAAGCCCATATAAAATGCAAATATGCATTCCAAACTCAAAAACAGCAATAGATTCAAACTTATCCAATAATTGCATTGCCTGAGGCAGTGTTCGGAGATTTAGCCCTCTCAAGTTCTGCTCTGCTTGAGAACTGGGCTTGTGTTGTCGCGTCTGTCACCTCTCCAGATTTAATGAGGTAGCTTGAACAAACTGGAAGAATGA